GGGGACAGTGGGCGTATGGATTGGGAGTTGATGGAGCTTTTAATGGCGTTGTTGATGGGATGATATTTAGTTATCGTAAACTCAATATATGTTGCGTGTATATGCAGTATATGTTCAATATATGTTTTCGTCGCTCGTGCTTCGTATATCTTCTGTATATATTCTGTTTATAATAATCAAATTTCTGTATATCTGTTGTATATTTTATTTATGTCGTTTGTATATAATGAGTATATATTTTGTATATTTTCCGTATATAATCCTGATCGTGTATTTTGTATGTATTAAACCAAAAAATATACTATAAGTACTACAAAAAAAAAAAGAGATATAAATAACACAAAAATTGAACAATATTCCTAGATATTAGGATATATACACTTACCATATATTTTGGTTTTTTTTTTTCCAACAAAAAAGGGTAAACAATAAATACTCCCGCAATTTAAGGATAGTTGATCCATTTTGTCTGGGTAACTGATATACTTGCAATATCACAAATAAATGTCATGAAATTAGTAAGTTTGCAATAAAAAGGTCTATCTTCGTATTGTCGCAATTATTATCAAATCGTTGTGTAAAAATAAAATTTTCCCTTAAAAAAAAAAATCAAGTCGGGCCTGCTGGTTTTTAGAACCTAAATTGTATTTCTCTCGGTCCCGGTTCAACCATAGTGGGCCCCGCCAAGCCACCGAGCATTAAAGAATATCTTCATCGGGACATCGTCTATTTTGATACGTGCGGTGTGAAGAAATTAAAATATTTTTAATTGTTGAATAATTTGACTCGTGTAAAATAATAATTCATTGGTGAAAAAAGAGATATAAAATAAAAAAAAATAATATAAAATAAAGATATGTTTTTTAAATTTTTTACATCTCAAAAACTTCTACATATTTTTAATGACACGTTGAATTTCTCAGCTGCGTGGCAATGGAATAGATAAATCCAATCACCATTGGAAGCTTTAAAAAGCTCGTCATTCATAAAAGGATACGAAACACAAAACAAATCAAGAACTTCAAATGCTAGTTGTTCCCCAAATCACAAGACAACAAAAACAACATGTTTTACTTCTCTATGTTACTTCCAAACAAATGCACCCAATCAATTCACTAGAACATAAAACCACGGAAATTCAAAGCACACATCTCAATTACATATATAAAAAAGGAAAAAGAAAAGAGAAGAAAAGAAAACTAAAAATTAACCTCTCTCTCTCTCT